GCCCGTCACCGCCCGCCACCCACCGCGCCGCCGCGCAGGTGCGGCGCCCCTCCAGCCAGCACGCTCGCGGCCTCCGTTGCCCTGCGCGGCTCTCACCCGCAGGCCCCCGGGTTCGAGACCCGGCGGGGGCGGGCTGTCAACGAGCTACGTCGGCAGGGGCTGCCCCGATCTGTAGTTTCGGGTTTTGTTTCCTTTCCCAGGCGAGTGCTGGATCCCATCTTTTTACTTACACACACACGTTTACGTGCTACACTTCCGCAGATTAATTTCTGTGCTTAGCGCTTGTCTCAGTTGGGGCGGTGGGAAGATAGGTCGGCACCATCATGTAGGTCAGCGATAGCTCTCATCACCAAACGAGAAACGAACACCGCTCCTAGTGGCATAAAACATACACTTCGCTAACGGGACAAATGAACACAACAGTTGTCGTGCTCGGATCCCCATCGGCAACCCATCGATCAACCAATTCAATAAACTCTGACCCAGGCACGAATTGATCTTTAAAACACATCCCTACAAAATACAGACACACGCTTCGATAGTATTTTTTTTCTCTCTCTCTCCTTTCATATTTCGTCATTATGATATCGTAGTTTGATTGAATAATTATGATAATGTTCTATGAATGAGTTTATTTTTCTTTAAATTAATTTACTGGTTTTATGTAATGCCACGGAATCAAATACAGTATTTATTGAGATAGAAAGTAAAGAGTTGAATACTTTTTCAGAGTAAACTAAAACCAAAATTTAAAACTAAAATTATTTTCATTATTTCGTGTACGATAAATGATACCGATATATGCACTTATAAATTATTTCAAAAAATAGGTGTAGGGCAGAAAGTAATTTTAGCTTCGAATTCTATTCTTGTACGTTTTCACCCTAAAAATACAATTTCCATAAAAATCACACATTTTGTCGAGGTGGTAAATGTCATTTCTTTAGAAATTGAAAATAAGTCAAACAAGTTTTATATTCACCCTTCGTTGGATCCTGACTTTCAGGCACATTTATGGAACACCAGTCA